TCATCCTGGATGAATATAAAATCTGATGTGACACTATCTGTGAGACAAGATTTATTTACCACGGTTGTCCTACTGTTGGGAAACTAGGTTGGGAAGATCTTCTTACATGAAAGTCAGCATTTAACAAATAGTAGCTCCTGAATATATTAGACATAGGTAAATACATATATGTACTTATGTACATATATGTATACTTTTAAACTCTGAGAACAAGGAACCACCGTAGGTGGTAAAGGGGATGCAGTTTAGACTTGTGTCAGCATTTTTGCCCTGGAATGCCTAGCATAAGACATAAAATGAAGATTTAAATAAATAACTCTAAGGGCGGTATTTGGCAACATCATGACCTTTGGAGTCAGACAAACATATGTCATGTCTGTGTGCTCTTCCATTGACTATCTGGAAGACTTGGACAACAACATTTTTATATAATGAAGATCTAATATTTGTATCCAGTCAGTATGGGCAAAGTTATGCTGCAGTAAAAAATGATTCCAAAATTGTAACAAAAATTTGTTTCTGTGAGGGTCCACGCTATCTTATTTCCAAGACCCAGGCTGATAATAGGGCAGGCACCATCTGAAATGTTGACAGTTACCATGGCAGAAGGAAAGAGAAAGGACCTCTTTCTACGAAGAGACTGGCCCTTTTCAAAGATTCCACCTAGAAGCGACACATGACTTTGACTCACATTTCCTTGACCTGAGAAAGCCATAAGACTATAGATAACTTCCAAGGGGCTGAGGAAGAGCAGGAAAACTTTTGTAAGAAAAGAAACAACTTGCCACATACTTGACACCTACTCATTCTAAAGTCCTAAAATACATCAGTATCTAACAAAGCTAACAGAATACGACAATGAAACAATTTGGCTTCATCAGGGTAATTGTAAAATGAACCAATGTCTCTTCCCTTCTAAAAGGCCTTTTGGTTATTTGCACTTTGGTTTGTCCTGTATGCACAGAACCTATGAAAAAGGAGAGATTCATTTACGCAATGAAATAGGAAAAGAATATATTTAACTACATGTGTTAGCAGCATAGCCCGATACACCTCTCTTTCAAAAGGAAAAATACTTCTTTCGTTCACAACTGAGGAGCAGCCAAGTTTTCTCAAAACTTAATTTTTCTTGGCCTTCCCTCCTACAATCAGGATTTGGTGGCAGTTAGAAGGTTCTGACATGGGGTTGCACTGAAAACATTTATAGTGTATGAAAAAGAAAGCTCCTCTTTATGCTGGGGCCCCATCTATTTGCAGAGATCCTGGAAAAAATCCAGGAAGTGTTCAGGTGGACCTGGCCCTAGGATTAGCCAGTAGAACTAGATGGTTCCCAGCTACCCCCTCATCTTCCTCGAGCTTCCCCATCACCTCCTGCCCCTACATACTAATAAGGAAGCAGCAAGTACAGCTCTAGTCAGGGATTCATAAACAAATGTGAAATAACGCAGATATGATTTCACATTATGGTGGCATTTGCCAACATAAAAATTATTACAACTTTGCTATAAATTGTTCTGTAAATTTTACAAAATATGCAAAAACTGACATTTCAAGAGCCGAGATAACTTAGATTTATTAAAAAGTTGAGGCCCTTGAGATTCAGCAAAAGAGAGTCTATTTCTTTATCTCGCTTTGAGTTGCGTGGGTCTCGTTTGTGTTTTGTTTTCCAGCTCCTTGTTTATAATGCATGGGTCAAAACTGGCCCTATCTGGGCTTTGACCACTTAATCCAGTTTCAGCCATAAATTTCTCCTCTGTCTCCGGAAGCGGATGGAGCTTCTCTGAATCCCAAATTTCTTATCAGAGCACGCAGCAATCATGGCCTGCCTCAAAAAAGCTGACAGAAAAGCATCTGATCTCTAGAAAGCACTCTAAAATGCTTCTTTGGCATAGACTGGCCCTCCATCTCTATAGGGCACAGTCTTAAGGACCCCTCTCCTGCCACCCTGTCCTCTTCACACACACCCATACACACAAATACATATATGCACACATGTGTACACACACACATTCTCTATTCAATGCCACAGGCACATTGCACATCACCAAGGCTACATATACTCTCTCCTGAGAGAGCCCTCATCAAAATCTTGCTTCTCACCCGAGACACTCAGATAGCTTCTCTTGGAAAGCTACCACTGTTGCCTGTCACCTGCGGCTAACACATCTCTCACAAGAGAGCCGCCATTGTCAGAGCTGGGATAACCAGCGTGTATTTGCTAGCCCTTGAAGGAAGCACAGCCAAGGCCAGCGTGTGCTGTGAACGAGTTTGTTACGTGTCCCTTTGAGAGGGACAGCATGGCATGTTACTCCCACCCCACCCTCAGAACTAGAAAGTCATATGGAATGAAAAGGAAAATCTTTATCAGAAATCCATCTCTTTTCTAAGTTGCTGCCTCGCTTTCTCCTCAACTCCCCATTCCCCCATGGTGGGAAATAAAGCTCAAAGACCACTTTGGATCTTAAATCTCAGCTTCAATGGAGCAAAACCTGACCTTAGCATTCCTCTCCCACCAGTGGTCCTGGGTTTAATTACTGCCACCCCTGTATGTTTAGGCAATTACTGTTGTAACACAAGGTGGGGTGGGGGGGGTTGTTGTGTGCGGGGCCTCAGTCAGCCCAGGACATCGTGTTCAGCCCCCACAGCTCATACAAAGCTTGTCACTCAGCAGGAAGCAGCCGTGCCCATGAAGTGTTGTACTCCGCAATTCTCCGCCCTGGAAACAATAGTTTCTAATGATGCCTGAATTCTTCACTCTTCTGGAGTGAGGCAGTTTCTTTCTCCTGGGGTCACGGTACCCCAGGACCCTGGCCCTAAAATACATCTCACTTCTGCGGGAAGTTTCATTTTTCCTCAGCTATTGCGAACACGATCCTGCTGAACAGAGCTGAATTTTTAAGGCCGAGTTTGTGGTGTGGATTCTGATGGCTTCCCGTTAGTTCAAGTCTCTGAGGACCAGTGCCAATAAATGTGAAAGGGACAACAGTAGATTGGCATACTTTTCCATTTCCACCAGGATGAGAAACTGCTATAAATGAAGTCTAACCTTAAATGTATAATCTGTCCTTGGGAAGGGGAGGAAAGGAAAAAAAAAAAAAAAAAGGATATAGCATCTTCAAGCTCTCGGCATCCCTTACGAGAAAAAATTGGTTCTAAGGGTCTCTGATCTTGTGTTTTAGTAAAATAGAACTGCACGGCTGACTGACAGTTCTGATCTAAAGCATTTACGTTTAAGTTTTGATCTCTCTGCTTTTGATTAAAACTAATGAGCTCATTTAATTCAAAATGGGAATCTCTGATAAGAGAAATAAGGTTGATGTGATTGGATTAGAGGGGCAAATTAAACTCTTAGAGCAGAAGTTTGTGCTTATATAGTGTATTAAAAAGCTGTTGGCGTATTATGGCATGTTAGATGATGAGAAAAATTTCATAGTAATTCATATTTAATCAGAAGAAATGAAAGTACTAAATATAACATAGCTCTGCTTTTCCCTCGAGTGATAAAAAGCTGTACATTTAAAATGACATCAGATCCATGCTCTCTAAAACAAAAAAAAAAAAAAAAAAAGAAAGAAAGAAAAGAAAATCTTAAGAGAGACACATAAGAAAGGGATACTTGTCAGAGGCTCCCTCACCCCAGAACAGAAGTGCCACAAACATAGGAAAATATAGTCCTGTTTAGACAGGAGTGCTACAAGAAAAGCCACAGACCACAAACAGTAAGGTTTCTGTATTATAGGAGCTCCTATTCTCCCTTCTGAGCATTAAGTTTCACGTAAGAAATGGGTATTTCTTTCCCTTAGAAATAGATGGAATATGTTTCTTGAAGTTCAAAAGCTTGTTTTTCCTCTTTTTCTTTGTGTTTTAATAACTATTTTCGTACATGCTTAATTCTTACAAGTTCCTTTGTGACCCCTATTTCTTTACCCCCACCCCTCGTGGGTGAAAAACTTGTGAGAAAACTCGTGTTAGGCTTCTCAAAACAAATCTTGTTTGTTGTTGGATATATATTTTTTTAATTTTAGACTCAGAAAAATATTTTAAACTTTAAAGTACTAGTTTAGAAGAGTGAAATTAGACAGTATCGATTAGGCTTAAAAGTACCAAAATTAATTTCTTTGCAGGAAATCACTTAAATGGATAAAAATCCCTCAGAAGGCAGATTTATGTGGCCTTCTGGCCTGTTTGCAGAAAGATATTTTTATATCAACAAGACTGAAAACTACCCTTTTAAGTTTCAGAAGTAAAGAAGCATTCCGCTTAGTCTACAAATGTATGAAGCGAAAGAGTAACTGCCTCGCTTAAGAGAGGAGATGATTATTTGTTAATATCCTTTTCCGATGGGGGTGGAAGGCAAGCAGTCATTAGAGACAGCAGGGGACAATACTGTTGGTGGTTTTTATTCCTTTCTGTCTATACACTCCATTCTCAGCCCTCTGTCATGAGTCAGTTGAGAAGACTTAATGCTTTCTCAATCCCCACAACAAAGACCAGCTCAGGAGGGCAAGGACCCTGGCCAGGATAGAGTCCCATTGTCCTCCGAACTGCCCAGTGGGCAAATGTTACAAGAAGGGATTTGCAGGGAGAACAAAGAGCCAGAGATCCGTACTCCCCATCAGCAGCCTGCCTGCCTCAGTGTTGGTTGATTCTGTAAATCGATGGTGTCCTCCTTTCTCCTGACTACTCCATCCCTGTGCACCTGGCAAGCCTCGAGGGGTGGCTGCTGTTACTCACTTACTTAAGACCCTACTTGGGGAGCTGCTGGAATTTAAAAGGCCTCTCCTGCTAGAAACTGGAATGGAGTTACTTTGGATTCATTAATTTTTCTTTTTTATTTTCTGCAAAGTAAACATTTTCTAAATGAGGTAAATTGATTACTACGCTCTTAGCACCCATCAGTCATTTATTTTTAGTGAACTCAAGGATTGCACCTGAGCGGTAGCTGTGAGGGGCTGTGTAGACATCTAAATCATGTGTGTATATATTTTTGTATTCTTCAGTGGAGTCAACCAGCCCCAGTCTGCTAACCACTGACAACACCCTTGAACGTTCCTTTTTCATCCGAATGAAATCTACTCTGACCAAACGCGGCGTGCACATCAAATCGTCAGGATATAAGGTAAGCTGGGCTCTGGGAAGGGACATACTCCTGTCTCAGGTCAATCCTAGGTCATTTGCATCGAATTTCCTGGCTGCTTTGGGTCCATATAATTAATGTCTATGACCTTGAGCAGCCCATCGGGTTCTCAGTTATTTTCCTGTCTCAAGGTAGGGGCTTCATTAATCCTCTCATTCTCACTTCAGACTTTGCTGAGGCACTAAATCCCTCCAAAGAGTGTCTTTTCTTAAAACACTTGTTAATAATGCACCAAGGTCTTCAGCATTTGCTAGAAATTCCCTTTGATGGGGAAGGTGAGCCAAATTCACATCAGTCCTTAAGACAAGCGTTCTAGAATGGCTACTTGTAAGAATTCTGCTTCTCCCTTCAAATCCCCCCTTTCTCTGTAGAGGAAGACAGTCCATTTTCCTAACTTCTTGGCCATCAAGACTCACACACGTAAATAAGAAAATCAGGTTAGGCATCAGGAATCTTAGTTGAAATTATAATTATTGCACATTCAATCATACCTTAGCATCCATAGAATACTCAACATACAGAGCACATGTTCCTATAACAGCAAAGACCATGTCTGGAGTCATAATCTACATTATTATCGTTTTAAGGGTAAGGATACAAAAGCCTCCTAATCTCGGGAAATTCCACCATTTCGGTTACTATAGCAACATAAATTAAGACCTATGAAATTTATGAAATGCCTTGGGCAACCTGAGTCTTATCAATTTTACAACACACTAACCAGTCCCTCAAACAATATTTACTGTATGCAGGAGGGCACGCAGCACCCAAAAGTATGAGAGATGTGGCCGGCATGACCTTTTCCAGTTTGGGAATTGAGAGCATCTGATAGCTCATTTCTTCAGGGTTACCATAGCATTGTCAGGGATGGTTAAGAGTCATTATCATTGGTCTTAAAAACCATATATAAGTCATCAGAAACCAGTGGCCACCTATAAGTCAGAGTTGGGTACTTTCTTTGACGTGAATTCTTCAGTGAGAAAAAGGAAGGAGGTAGGGAAGCAGGCCCTTCCGTGAACGACCTTTCGCTGAGCTGTCCTACCATCTGAAGGGCAAATTTGGAGCATCCTTAACCTTTAACAGGATTGGAAGCAAAGGAGAGGCACCGGGCAGCTCCGTCTGTCGGGGCTTTACCCTACAGAGGCCCGTTACAAAGGGAGATGGTGGAGGAAAAAAAACCCCGACTCTATCCTTAGGACTATTTTTATTTTTCCTGCCTTACTGAACCCAAGATATTTATGAGTCACGACGTGTGTAGCATGAGCAAGTTTGGAATTCTGAAAGCAAGCTGTAGGTAGAGTGGTTAGTGTCACAGTAATGGTAGCAAGATTCAGTTTTGGCATTCCTGTCTCTAGAAGTCAAGACGGCTTCCTTTCACCTGTGTTCTGTCGGTGTTTGTGCGTCACTTTCAGTGGTTTTTACTGGTTTGTAGGTGGTGTGTCCCAGGAAAGAAGGGCGGGAAAGGTGAGGTATAGTTTGACAAAGCAATATTTAGTATACTTTGGTCTCATGAGATAATTTTTTGAACAATAAAAAATTATTGCTTTCACTTGACTAATGTGAGATCATAAGGTCCTGCACAATTTTGAATTTACAAGAAAAGTGGGCTGTCCAAGCAGAAAAATAGGCAAGAGAACCTGTAGCTTGCGTTCTCTCCGTGTTGTGGTTCGGTCAGCTCAGGACCGCTGTTTTTGCTGCCTGGCCTGAAACTGGACAAGCTCACTTCTTAAATACTCATAGATTGATTATTCATTCAATGAATGTCTCTTGAGTTCCTACTCTGGAGCCTGTTCTAGATCCTGTAACCCAGCATTAAACAATAAAAAGTCCCTGCTTTTGTGGTACTTAGATTCCAACAGCAGGCTAGAGTGAATAACAATAAATAAAAAGGTGATTTCAGATGACGATGATGTCCAAAACTACAAGGACTACCATAGCAGACGTATTACAATACGCTGGACATGGTGTGACATGCGTGTGTGAGCCCTCACAGCAGTCCCAGAAGAAAAAAATGTTCATTGTTTCCACTTTACAGGTAAAGAAACTAAGGCTAGGGGTTAATTAGCATACCCAATGTCACACATTGAAGGGAGACAGCTGGGGTTTGAACTCTGGGAGCCTGGCTCCACATCCCATGCACTGAACCACTAAGCTACCCTGTTATGCTGAGAGTAAAGCAAGATCATGCATGGGTGGCTGATGGGGTCCACTTTAGACAGAGTCACAGGAGGTCTCCCTGTGGAGGTGACATGTTACCTGTGAGTGGTAAATGAGAATAGACCACGATGGAAATGTGGAAGAACAGTGTTTGGGGCACCTTGGTGGCTCAGTCATTGAGTGTCTGCCTTTGGTTCAGGTCATGATACCAGGGTTTTGGGATCAAGCCCCACGCTGGGCTCCCTGCTCAGCGGGAAGTCTGCTTCTCCCCCTCCCACATCCCTTGCTTGTGTTCCCTCTCTTGTTGTGTCTCTGTCAAATAATAAAATCTAAAAAAAAAAAAAAAAAAAAAAAAAGAGAGAGAAAAAAGAATAGTGTTTGCAGAGCTCCTTGGGCTTAGGATTAAAGACACCTTGTTGTAAGAAGGCACCCTCGAGAAAAAAATATGAAAAAGTATCATGAGCACCAAGATTGGAAAAGAGAAGTTATTCCAGTTTCCATCAAATCCAAGCATGTTGAGGAAATCCTACTCCTTTGACGTACCCTGCTGGTATGTCTTTCTAAAGACACCACGAAGGTCTCCATCCAGTACCTTCCCTCCCACCCCAGGACTTTGAACACGTGAGTTGATTCATCCACTCTTCCCCCAGTAAGATGAATCGTCCAGCAGATCCAGCTCCCCCCCCCGCCCTGCCCCACGATGCACTTGCCTCATTAATTAACCGTGTCTATAAGTCAGTGGAAGAGCTGATGGGGAGCCCATGCCATGACACAGCTGAATAACGTCCCTATTTATCTGTTCGTTTGCAGTAAATAAATCTAACAGCTTATAAAACATTCAAATAAAACTGGTAATCACCCCACCACCACACAATAAGCACAAATAAAAAGAAACAGCGATGATAATTTCACCACGCTCCCAATATTCCTCTTAATTTATCACCATGGTTTGCTTTGTTCTTTTCCCGTAAAGCTCCGAGATGTTAAGCCGTGCCCAGTGCAGGCCACGATACTTCTCCCCATTTTTCCTGTGACCTCGGCACATAACACTTTCGACTCGGTCCATCACCTCCTCTGCCACTCTTTCTTTACTGTTGTTGCCACGGACCTTAACAGTGGCCGCCAAAGTGACATAACCTGTCAAACATTGACTCTCTGACAGATCCTCTGCCCTCCAGACCTGCCGCATCAGACCTATTTGATCTAACCCGTACGATGTTTAGAAACCTCCTCTGCACCAGGCATTCTTTGAATCTCACATACTGTCATTGTGCCCATTTTGCAGGTGGTAAAACTGAGCTTTAGTTGGGCTCAGTACTTTGCTCGTGTTCACAACATCTCTTAAGTAGCTACTGAGGAGCCAGGACTGACCAGGCAGTTAGGCTCCAGAGTCTGCCCTCTCCTACCCTCTGCTTCACTGGATAACAGATAGAGTCCAAAGACGAACTCGGCACCAGCTGAACCTCAGCATACAGAAAGTTCATCACAGTTTTTAAAAAGAAAATCCTCTGGCCTGATTAAGACCTTCTCTTGTGACACAGCACGTCCCACAGCCCTCATTTATGGAGATCTGCAGACAGTTACCTTCTTTCCAGGGATTCTTCACACCCACCCAGGGACCCAAGACCAAGAACTCTAGCCCAAAAAGTACCCCCTCAGAATCTGCAAATTCAAGCAGAGAGTGTGATGGAGGCTGCTCTTCCTTCCACACCCCAGGCCTCAGGAAAGTTGCCCTCTTGCCAGTGAAGCTTCCCAGCCGTGAGCCGACATGCAGTTGTCTCTGTCCTCATTTGCTTTGAAATCCACAGTAACACGTTATCAGGCCCAGCTGCTTTTTATGCCTCAGGGGCTTCTGGTGGTTTGGGTCCCATTGTCGGCCACATATCTTCGCGCAACACAGCTCTCCTTTAAATTGCATTGCCATCAGTATTCTGCCTTGATTAGGTCTATGTCTGGGGGAACTTACTAGGTATAGCACAGGGGGTAAAAGGAGATATGTAATCAGGGAAATTAGAGAAGTAAAGACTAATTGGGTCGCCTCCTTAGCTCCTGTCTTTGGAGGATAGTTTCTGTTAGCCTGGGACTGTCAGTTTTCTAATCTACTCCTAAATGCCCACCAGCATCACTGTCATTTCTGGAGTTTTTATCCACACACATGATGATGTCCTAACTCTGACGGCAGAGAGGAGCATCCCGGCTGGGAAAGAGAGACAAAGAGAGAAAATCTCTATCATGCTTATAGAATGCTGAGAATGTCTCTCAACTCACCACAGAGGTGAAAACCTTCCCATGCCGTGGGGTCTGGCTAGGACATATAGGAACAGATTACTGAGGAAGCAAAGGGGCATTTGGATTCTTCCCAAAACAAACAACAACAAAAACCCAGCCCCCATCCGGGATGATCTGAGTATGGATTTGCCTGTAGCTAAGTGTCCAACTAAATGATATCTGTAACCAGTCCAGGCTCCTTATGATATGAAGAGTCAGAAAGCGTAAGTAATAGAGAAAATAGTTTGTAGGTTCGCTACCTTATTAGGACTGCCGATATACCTCAGCTCTAAGAATACCTGTATTTAGACAGGAAGTAACAAAAGCAAAAAAATGAGAGGGTGCTAATTAGCTAAAGCAAATTCCTCTTCACCTTCTCTAAACACAGAGATGCCTTTTAAATTAGATCTTGATTGTATTTTTCAAGTTCATGGTTGTATCTGTTTTGTGGGAAAAGGCACTCCCCTAATTTTATTAGTAATTTGTTTTATTTGGGGTGTCATAAATCCCATTAATGATTTGATTAAATCCGTAGAGCCTCTCCCAAGGTAAATTCT